TTTACCATTTCAGCTTGAAGAACAATCTAGAAATATTAACCACAAAGAAGATTTGGCAGCCTTAAAGACCAGGATACATGATCTGACCATGGTATGAATTTCCTAACACTTCCCTGCATGAGGTAGTAATTGTCTGTATTATCTGTGCCACCTGCCATATTTATTTAATTTGTGGAATTATGACCTTTTTGTTAAATTTATCAATGTTGCAGTGTGAAAAGAAATGTTGTTCTGCGTCTTCTCACTGTTGAGGCAAGAGAAAGCAGCAGTGGCTGTTGTCTCTTACCAGTGGGGAAGGAAAGTGGTGGGAAAATTATTTAGCCTATACAGAAATAGCTGGGCTCAGCTCTGGGGTGGGAGAGAAATGAAGGAGTTTTCTCAAATAGAGTGCAGCCACCTTTCCTTTCCCCCACGAACTCAGAACAGCTGGTTCTGCATGGTTTGAATCAACCCCCTGCTCTGTTTTGCTCCCTCTCTATAAAGGATGTTGGCTTTTGAGTGTTTGACCTATTTGCAATTGAGAGATCAAGTTTCAGTTGAAGGTACAGAGGCAGGGCTACAGCTGGCCAAGGCAGAGATAAATTGATTTTACTTTCTCCCTGGAAATATCCTTAAGCAATTCTGTACCATGGAATGTATGTCATTCTGAAATGAAGTTAAAAATATTGAGAGGAAAGGGGAAGAAAAGTATCTTTTGCCCTTTGCTATTCATATTCAAATAGATGACTACTCAATAATTTGTAAGGAGTCCGCATAATTTCATCATTAGTAACATTTTCCATGTCTCGAGTAAATGTTTTTTTTTTTAAAAAATAAAACACGTTAATTTTGATTTTGGCTTTGATCTTTTCAGGAAAACCAGAAACTTAAAAAAGACCTTATGGAAGCACAGACAAATATTGCATTCCTTCAGAGTGAATTAGATACTTTGAAAAGTGACATTGCAGATCACAGTTTGAGTTCTGAACGGTAAGAATAATCAGTCACTGGATCTGTTGAAAATAAGTCACTGAATTGTGAATTGTGTGTGTGTGCACATGTTGTCTTTAAAGAAAAAATAATTATGTTAATTTTGTTTTATAGAGACCTAGACATGATCAGAGAGTACACAGAAGACAGAGATAGTTTGGAAAGGCAGATAGTGATTCTACAGTAAGTTAAATAATTCGGTTTTTACTCAACTTTAATATTTAGTGTTTGGTTCCCTTAGCTAAAACAGCAATTTTTTTGTTCTTGTGAAAAGCTTTTTCATGTCTGGATTTCTCTTTCAGTCAACCCTAGTAGATCTTGTAGTAAATCCAAACCAGTTTTGTTTCTACCTCTAGGATGCTTGCTAAGACGAAGGATTGATACAACAGGATGAGTAGGATCAGATGTATGGATCTTGATGTGTTAGAATGCCTTGTGTCACAGCAACAACAACAATACTTAGAGCTAGAGACAAAATTTGTTTGATCTCCCCAATCATTTTTTTAAAAAAGCACTAAACATACCTCTGTGTCATCTTAGTATTTTTGGGAAAGGGGTATACAAATCACTCTGACCCAATAGGCTTTTAAATAATTTCTGACACACCCCATTAAGTATTTGCCAGTGGTTAAAACCAATAGTGGCCCCAAATATAATAGATTATTGAAATATAAAATAATTACATAAGTTCCATGGATTTCAGTAGACCTACACTAGTTGCGAGTAACTTATTGCACTAGCTATTGCTATTCTAGTTGGGACAAAGCTGTGTCAGCCCAATGTAGTTCTCTGTTATTATAAGGATATGTTCACTCTACAGTAGAAGAAGAGTACCTTGGGGATGCATGTAACTTCTGTGTTTTTTGGGGCATACACTCTTGGATCCTATTATTATTACTATTATTGTCAACTTTATTTATATCCCTCCTTTCTCCTTGTGGGGACTCAAGGTGGCTAACAATCCTACACTTTAGTCATAGTTTTAAAAGTGCAATACAAAAGTTAAAAAACAATTAAATACAACAGTGTGGTAGACACAAAATAAAATATAACGAATACACTTAAAATAGCCTTTAAAACTCACAGTTCAAAGGGAAGCCTTTTTCTAATAAGAAGTAAGCTAGATGTTGATTGGGCTAAAATGGTCCCGCACAACATGGCAAAATTGCCTCAGTGAGTTCTTGAGGAACTTTGAGGACAAATATTTGATTTTTAGGAGGAGACTTGCAAGCGAGGTGCACAAAAGGCCCATGAGCCCCACTAGCCATGACCAGTGCTTTCCAGGAGTAGTATTGATTGATTTACTCTTTTTATATCCCAACTTTCTCCACCCTGAAGGGGACTCAAGGCAGCTTTACATGGCAACTATTTGATGCCTTTAGAGAACAATTGATGGCCTCTTAACGTTCCTCAGTCCTTCAGTTCCTTTTAGTGAATTCTCATTTATTTATAGAACAAGAAGATAGAGACTAAGAAATTGACAAACAATCAACACTTCTTTAAAGCTTCATAAAGTTGTGTATGTAGTTGTAATTTTACTTTTTTTCTGTTCTGGGGTCAGTGATGCCTCCAAATGTGTAACAGTGGAGTGCAATACTACATTTGTATTATTCTGCGTTGTTCAGATTTGCATTGAATCTTCTAGGTATTTTCACTGGAGTTCATGAACACAAAGGAACCTCTTTGAAGTCCCATCTTTCTTTTCTAGTTTTATAATGCCAGCATATTGATTAAATACTATTATTGACCTTTTTTGATAATACATTTTTTTCTGGCTTGTTCCTTAAGATCAGCTAATAGGAAACTTCATGACAGCAATGATGGCTTAAGAAGTGCATTAGAGAATAGTTGGAGCATGTACAACAAATCACTGGTAGGCACCAAAATTTCATGACCAATATGTTTAAATAAATATGTAGGTAGATAGATACTTGCTCTGGATTATAACCATGAAGCCTTGAAAATTAAATGTCATAGCGAAACAGTATTATTATTCAAAATTCATGTCAAAGTAACTTGACAGTATGAGCCTGTGCATTGCCATTTGAAAGTAAGCCCCACTGTGTTTAATGAGTCTTACTCCCAGGTGAGCATGTCTAAGTCTGAAGGATGATAGTGTAATTCTCTGCATATTTAGTTGGATGAAATGTCCACAAGATTAAATGGAAATTGATGTTTGAAACAAAAGATTATTTTTCAATTATATAATATAAATATGTAAAAACAATGACAAAGTTTGAACCAGGTGGGCCTTTCATTTGACTAAATATGCAGAGGACTACACACCTATTATGTAACAAGGATGACAGCCTATGCGGTCTAGTGGTTTGAGTGCTGGAGTAGGACTCTAGAAGGTCAGATTCAAATCCATGCTTAGTCATTGAAACCCCTGGAGACGTTCAGTGAATCATATTATCTCAGCCTTTAAAAAAGGCAATACCAACTTCCTCTGATTTATACCTTGTGAAGACTATCTTGGTTTCCATATGTCAGAATCGACTTAATGCTAGATAACAACACAAAACAGAGCTGCTGCATTGGCCTTTGTCCTCCTTCTCTTCAGTACATCTAGACAATGACCTTCATGTGTATGTAATGGTAATGGCAAACTTCTGCTGCCAAGAAAACTCTCTGATAGGGATATCATAAAATGGAATTGATTTGAGAGTACATACCAGCAAAAAATTAAACTTTCAGAGAGTGTTCATTTGCATTGTTTAATCTCGATTGGATCTGTGCAACTCAAAAGAAAGTGGAAAACTTTGAAAGCCAGTGTGGTGTAGTGATTGGAGTATTAAGCTGTGTCTCTGGAGACTAGAGCTTGATTGCCCACTCAGCCATGAAACCTCACTGAGTGACCTTGGGAAAACCACACTTCCTGAACCTCAGAGATTCAGGGAGTGTGATTTGTTCAGAACCCCCTCTGAACAAATCTCCTCCAAAAACCCAGTGATAGGTTCACTTAACATAGATGTTGCCATAAGTCACAAATGACTTGAAGACACATAACAACAAATCTTTCCCATGCTTTATGTGTTTTTCAGCGTCTAACAAATACTTCACCAGGGAACACACTTTCCAGAAGCAGTCCAAAACGCAGTGGTGGACATTCTCCACAAATCCCACATTATGACGGGTAAAGATTACTATGTTGTCATTTCAAATGCTAAAAGTTTGAAACATAAAGAATACACGTTATGAGCCTGATCTTTATGGTGATCTATTTGAGTCAGAAACCCTTGCCAGCCTGTTGCACCCCAAAATCTACCAGTAGATCCCAATCTTCCTTTTTGCATTCTTAAAATACACATGACTCCTAAGTATTAATTCAATATGGGCTATTTAGTATTATGATTTAGGATTACAACGCTGTTGTTATACAGGGCATTTAAAAAGTAATTCTGGTATAAAACAAATTAACCATGCTTTACAAAAAAACCCCCACCATGTTTATGACACATTCATAATTAGGGCTTTTTTCTTCTCTATCTGCTCTTCAGAAAATCAGCCACGAATTGTTAACTTGCCTTTTTGGAAAAATGGGAACATTTCATGTTTTTAGAGGGCATGTAAAAAGCATGAACACTAATAATAATAATAATAATAATAATAATAATAATAATAATAATATCATCATCATCATCATCATTTATATCCCACCACTATCTCCCCAAAGGGACTTGGTGAGGCTTACAAGGTACATGAGTATAAAACAATATCACATAAAAATTATAAAAACAACATATCACTAGTCTTCCATTAAGTGTTTAAAATTCCCCCCAAAAATCCAGATATGAAGATTGGTTGCCTTTCCCATGCTGCTCTCTAGTGGAGTTAATAATCTTCCAGTAACAAGAAACTCTTACACACAACTATAATTGATATTGTTTCAGCGAGGTGTGGACAGAATAAACTAATACTTCCCTTGCACTAGCTGCTCTTAAATGGGAATCTATTATTTCAACCCCACTTAAGTTTGTACAGACATGGGTTTGATCGTGCAAAGGGATTCATAATTTCAGAAATACAACAGTTCAAGAAATATAACATTTCTATAAACTGGGCTTTTGTAGCACCTTTCTTTGAATGCACCTGTCAGTTAAAATGTAGGCTGTTTGTTCCATATTGGGTTCCGAATTTGAATAATATTTCAGATTTGTAGACAGATGGATCTATTTATTATAATCCCCTTAATATTTCCATTTTATAGTGCTTTGAGGAATTCTGTGTAGGTGATTATTAAATCTGAGCAATTTGAGGAGGTATTCATATAGGCTCTTTATGACCATTCATTAGGTTCAGCAAATGTGTGTGTCCTGGATGAGGGATGCAGAGAATATTTGAAAATATTCAAAAATGGCCAAAAGCAATTTTTTTGAATATTAGAAAACCCTGTTGACAAGAAACCTAGACCCACAAAAGTCTTTACAGTTCAGGACTTATTCTATGCAAAATTTCCAAACAAGTGTTTGCAGAAAAGCCAGCATTTTCTGAGGAAACAGCATTTCTGTACAGAAATTATATTTTTGTGTCAGTAATGGCATTTTATGTTTAGAAGTACTCAGAAAATGCTGTTTTGTGCACAAAACAATTGTGTATGACTTTTTCAGAGGATAAATCCAGAATTGCAAATATATTTTTTGCCAGAAGAAGAAGACTGCTAAAATCTCTAATTGCTTCTTTTCAGAAAAAAATTGTGAATAATTACATCTCTGCCTCCTCCTCATAACACTGAAGTCATTATTTAAAGCTAAAATATGTTCATAAAAAATGTGCTTCTTTTTCATGCAAGGGGAAGTATACTTAGATCAGGGATGAAAATTATGCCTTTCACAACGTATTATTGGATGCCTGCACTTCTGACTATGCTGGCTTGGGGTGATGGGAACTGAAGCGCACGTGTAGTTTTTGAGTATTTTAAGGAAACAAGAAACCAAGGAAATGGAAAAGGAATAAATAAACTCTAGCATACCGATGTATACAACAGAGTTGTTGTATCTCAGCGTTTACTCTTTCTTTCCTGTCCACAGATCGGAAGAAAGGAAATATGTGAGATTGTGATTGTAGAAATGTGATCTTCAAGCTTCCATGGCCATAGAATCAGGGAAGAGTGAGTGGGCTTAAGGATTTTTGTAAAATAAAAGAACTAATGTCAAAAAAGATGTTTTCTATGGCTCATGGACATAGGGAGATTGGTTATCTGTAGATTAGGAACTTTGGTGACCAATGTTATAGCACGTTATTTGTCTCTTTTCCAATCAGGTTATCTCATTCATCATATGTTGATGAAGACTATGATTCTCTAGCACTTTGCGATCCTATGCAGAGAAGAAACTGTGAGGTTGATAGCCTTCCTGAAAGTTGCTTTGACAGTGGCTTGTCTACTTTGAGAGACTCAAATGAATATGATTCAGAAGTGGAACTGAAGCACCCAAGAATTTCTCAAAGGTCGCAGTGTCTTCAGGAAGGCTCAACTGGTGATGCTTCTGATACAGATGTAAGCTCCATGACTGTTGCTTTTAAAAAAGTATTCAGATGCAAAAGGTACCTCTTGCTGTGAATGTTTAATGTGAATGTTTAATGTGAGAAAGACATAGTTATAGATGTGAGCAGCACAGAAGTTCCAACAGAAGGATATCAATATAATTAAGGGAAACCTGGGTTTATAGTACAATGTATGAAAACATTTCATAGAATCATAGACTCATAGAGTTGGAAGAGACCTCGTGGACCATCCAGTCCAACCCCCTGCCAAGAAGCAGGAAAATAGCATTCAAAGCACCCCTGGCAGATGGCCATCCAGCCCCTACTTAAAAGCCTCCTAAGAAGGAACCTCCACTACACTCTGGAGCAGAGAGTTCCATTGCTGAACAACTCTCACAGTTAGGAAGTTCTTCCTAATGTTCAAGTTGAATCTCCTTTCTTGTAGTTTGAAGCCATTGTTCCACATCCTAGTCTCCAGGGCAGCAGAAAACAAGCTTGCTCCCTCCTCCCTATGACACCCCCTCATATATTTATACATGACTATCATGTCTCCTTTCAGCTTTCTCTTCTGAAGGCTAAACATGCCCAGCTCTTTAAGCTGTTGCTCATAAGGTTTGTTCTCCAGACCCTTGATCATTTTAGTTGCCCTCCTCTGGACACATTCCAGCTTGTCAACATCTCCCGTTAATTGTGGTGCCCAGAACTGGACACAGTATTCCAAATGTGATCTAACCAAGGCAGAATAGAGGGGGTAGCATGACTTCCCTGGATCTAGACACCATACTCCTATTGATGCAGGCCAAAATCCCATTAGGTTTTTTTGCCGCTGCATCACATTGTTGGCTCATGTTTAATTTGTTGTCCATGAGAACGCTAAGATCTTTTTCACACATACGGCTCTCAAGCAAGACATTTCTATGGATTTCTATGGATATTGTAGGGTAAATGTGTCTGTCCAACCTATGGGCAGTAAAATTGGCACTAGTAACTTCAGTGAAGACTTTATGGTCTTGGCCTACTCTTGTATGCTGCTGATTGATGATGATATCTGTTTTATTTTGTGTGTTGATTAGCCTTCGTCCCCACCTCTTTCTTAAACTATAGCAAAATTCTGATTTGAGGTTGTCATGGACATTAGTAACTGTTGCTCCTCTGTACAGGTTCCAGATATCGGAGATGAAGAGGTGTATAGTCCTGATGAAGTCAGTACAGTGTTGGATTGGAAACCTGGCCAGCCAGTAAGTCGAAACAGTTCTGGAGCTTCAACAAGGAAATGTATCCCTGTCATCTCTCCTCAGGTATTCAATCTAGAATAAGTCAGCTAACAACCATATTGTGGTCCAGAGAGCTATTATATTAGGCGTAGCTAAGGATTTGGATGTGTCCAGTCGTATCTTTGATCTCCTAGTAAAATGGCAGATTTCTCCTTACCGATAGCATGTATCTTAAGAACATCTGCTGAAACTGTACTGCAGTGTAACAAAATCCCATTTGGTCTCACTTGCTCCCAGTATGTATAGAATTGTTGCCTTAAGCTCAATGAAACATACTGAAAGGACACTACTGATGTCATATCTTTTGCATTTTTCCACAAAGCTATTTAAGCATCAAAATATAAGTCTTATTTTTTCTGAGATTGCATCTTTGATTGGAAAACTGAATCTACTTTTCAGGGTGGAAAATATTAAGCTTATAAATTAAAATCTTGACCCCCTCCCCCTTTCATTCTTGCTGAATGAATTTAGGCTCCCCTTTGCTTATGTCCTTTTTAAAAATGTGCTCATATTTTAAAATGTAGACAGAGCCCTTATGGGTCTGGATAAAGCTCTGTTCACTCCATCTTACTCTTCCATTTAGTGGCTAATAAAATTCTTCTAGGAAGTAAGTTATGAAGGCAACTGTAGTTCTAGCTTGTTTGTGTTCTGGCAACTGTCATTCAGTGACCATGTCTTCATGTGCTCATTACATATAGTTATCTCGTATAATAGCCAATGAATGACTCCTTCCTTTATAAATCCCTTTCACTTAAGACAGAAACTGACCACAACATATCCTAATAGCCATTTCCATGAATTAATTATGCATAGTGGTAGAATGTATTTTCTGTGCTGATTTTATTGGATGATGCAGTACTAATGAAAGATAATACTTGTACCAACTGTTCTAATATTCTTCCATTAGTGAAAGCGGGAATCCTGTTTTCTCTTAAGAGATTTATGATGTTACAAATGTTGGTCATATTTCTCCTTCCAACAAACCCCACCCCTATTTTGAAAAAACCTGCCCCACACATTCTTGTTCAGTTTTCCTAGTTCCATGATATCCTTATTTAGGTGGGGTACTGTGGTCTGTATTTGAAATGTTCATGTTCTGTTAGATTTGTAAGAGATAGCATTGCAAACAGAGAGAAAAGCAGACATGTTAAGGATTAATATGGAGGAGACTTCAATACTTGTATACTTGCAGTGAAAAATGCAAATACATTGTTTGGGATTATAAGAAAAGGAAATTTATTGTTTTTGTATTGGCATGGGGAACCTTTGGCCTTCCTTGTGTTTTGAACTACTACCTAGAACTCCTTATCATTGTCCAATCTGGGTGAGAATTGTAAGCCAAAACATCTAGGGAATCAAAGGTTACCTGTCATAATACAAAAATATTCCTTTTCTAATCATCCCTATCCAGGCATTTGAATTTTCCATTGCAGCTTTCAGTTACCATTTTCACCAATTCAAGATAATTCTTTATCCTCTTGGATTATCCCCATGAAGAGTTTAGCTTCTAGTAATGCACAAATGAAGTCATGATTTACTGTTCATGTGTTTCATACTTAACCCTGGCATATATTAAGTGTACAGCTAGGGTTTAGCAATGAGATCATGGCTTATAATGGGGGAAGATAACTGTTTTTAGTGCTCTCAAAGTTGTGTGTGTGTTTTTGATGTTTAGTCAGATGCCACAGACAGCAGCTCTAGATATCCAAGCTCAGAAAAGGCTTACAAGATAGTTCTTGCTGGGGATGCTGCAGTTGGGAAATCAAGTTTCTTGATGAGGCTTTGCAAAAATGAATTCCGGGGAAACACCAGTGCAACTCTAGGTACGTTCTTGTATATTTCTTTCCTTGCAGAATCTGAAGTAATTTGAGTAAATTTCAGCCTTCCTCTTTCAAACACAGGCAAGAGGAGACGTGATCTGCCCCTAAAAGCCTGTTTCTTTTACTTTTGCATCTAACTTTTCTGCCATGAAGATTAGGATGGAATACAAGGATTGATCTCCTTCTTGTAGAAATCCTGTGTGCGAAAGCAAACTGTTGAATTTAGTGTCCAAGGCAGGACTCAAATTCAAGATTCCTTCTGAAGACAAATATAAAATCACTGCCTTTATCATGAAATGTAAAGCCATAATTTTTTTTCTTCTCAATGCGACCTCAGGCTGTGAGAGAGAGCTGTGGTTGAGGATGTGACCATAATAGTTAGACTGGAGTAGGGGTCTCTTGGTACTTTAGTACAGGCAGCTATTTCAAGATTTTGGGGTTGAAAGGTGGGAATAGGCATTATATAAATCGTTTCACACACTTAACTAGATAGAGATAGAGAGAATATTGGTTATTATTCATTTCTCACCTGAGAAACTGAGAAAAGGGTAGGGGAGAGGCATATTTCTTCAGGAAGTATTCATTTGCATAGACAGATATGTGACTTTTGTGCATGAACTACTTTTTCTGTGTGCAGGAAACATTTTTTGTGAAGAAAAGGCATTTTTTGTGGAGACTGAATGTGTTTTGCCCAGGAAAAGATATTCAGGGGTAGCTGTGTTGGTCATGCAGCAAAATACAACAAAGTCCAAAAAGGACCTCACAAGGCCAGTAAGGGGAGAGGCCTCTGGCTACATTGAAATCTCTCAATACCATCTTAACTGACATTATTTGAGTCAGAATGTAGTCCTGTGGCTGTTAACGTCATCACCATTTTTGACCTGTATAATTTCTAACATTTTTGCCTAATGAAAAAGCCAGTGAAGCTTGCATAACTTTATATTTTGGAGCCCCCCACCTCTCCCAGACCTCACTGCACAAAAGAATTTCCCTTAGCACAAAATACCCTTTCTTTGTGGAAGAACCACATGTAATTTTTGCATAGACAAATAATTTTGATATTTATATGCAGTTTATCAGGTCGCTCCTGACACACACACAAAAATACAGTTATGGATTTTGGAATATTTCAGATTTTGGAAATCTGGGTAAGGGATGCTAAACCTGTGTTTTTAACTGATATTTTTGTATAGTTTTAAATCTGTATTCTTTTTACTCCATTGTAACCCACCTTGGGTCTATTATTGGGGAAGAGGCAGGATGTAAATGAGTAAAATAACATCAGCAACAACTTGCCAAAGTTTGAATAGTAATAAGAAACTGCACAGAAATCTTTATGTTCTCACCCAGTGGGAGGAATACTGTGGGAATTAGTTGCTCTAGTCTGCAAGGATGAAAAACACAAAGGTTTACATCCTTCCTCTTGAAACCTTTTTTGCCTTCATTATGAGAAGAAATATACCCACTCTCTCCATTTATACGTACATATGCCTTTCACAGTTAATGCAAACGGTATTCATTTTTCACTCAGGTTATTGTATCCTGTGTGCATGGCTTTTCTAAAGAATATTATCTCCACAAAGATAAAACATGCTTACAATCTATTAATGGAACATCTCATTAGAGTTACGGTAGGAATACTAAATTCCTGTCACCCAGTGAGTTCTTGGGAGGGATACTACACATTAGCTTTGCTGCTATTAGCAAAATAGCGCTCTTCTATTACTCACTTGTAGTTGCCTCGACAGTGTAGTTTTAGGTCTATGCCATCTAGTATGGTAGATGGCTTTGTAATTTTTGGAAGATAGACTCTGTTAAATACATACATGTGCACAAATATATAAAAAGAATGCCATGCTACTTACAAACAAATAGCTTAGTTGAAATATGAACTTCACCATAATGTTTTTGCTTCTGGAGCTTTCAACACAATTTTGAATTCTAAAAATGTTTATGTTCTGTTTATACATGACATTGTGGTATATATGGTTTCACATTCCTTTTATAACATGCCTACTAATTTATAACCTTGCCGTCACTAAATACTGTTCTAAAACTGCAAAATTTAACTCTTAAATGGAATATACATCTCTCCCTTTCCTGCCTTCTGTCTCTTATCACAATTTTATTGAGTTGTATCTCTTATATTGCCAAATCCTTATTGTCCTTTAAAGGTCTTAAGTGGATTTTGTAACTTTTTTCTCCTAAGGGGTTGACTTTCAAATGAAGAGGCTCATTGTTGATGGGGAACCAACAGTGTTACAACTGTGGGACACTGCAGGACAAGAGAGGTTAGTATACTATTACAGTTTTTGAATTATAAATAAAGCAGCAGTATTTCTGGGAGGAACTGCAAAACCCTTTCTAGTGCAATTCAAGTCTTCTCAAAAGTAAGTAGAGTTTGGATGAGTGATTTTTTTGACATCACCTCACAAAATAGTCCATGCTGATTTAAGGATTTGGGACCTGTAGCTCAGAAAGTAATTGTCCTAAGCTCTGGAGATAAGACCAGTTGGGTTCAGTGGAAATCAACCATAGGTAAGCCTAAATAAGATTGCAGATTTTCGGCTGACATCTATCCTGTTTGTGCATAATGCATTGTTGGACATTGGAGATGTTTGCACATTACACATAAATGCACAATGTGCATTTAGTCTTCCAGTATTGCATTTTTGTAATGAGGTGAAGTAGCACAATAAATGGCATACCTTCAAGATTGTATGGTTGTTGCATTCTACCTCCTTGATGCAGGTTCTCAGCCTAACTGTATTAAAAACTGAACTTTGCTAAGGCAAAGTGGAAACAATGAAAAGGGCAAGCAGATCCTATCATTGGCAATTTAGGTGGAGCACACAACTTGATTTTATGAACATACATATTTGGCAGAAGGGCTCATTTTTTTGCTTGTAATGAGACCATGTTTGAGAGTCATTCTGCAAAGACAGGAAAATGCCAGTGCTGCTTTAGGAGGACAGCTGCCCCTAGTTGTCATCACTGCCATTTTTCCATCCAGGGATTCAAAAAGGCTAGAAGCAGTGTAGAAATGGAGAGAATAAAGGGGATCAGTGCTTCTTTTAGATGCTTCTCCGACAGGCCACCCTCTTGCCATTTGCCATTGTACAAGCATATCTTTTGTTTTGGACTTTTAAGAATATCATTCCACCATCACAGTGGCATGTTAGCTACGGAAGGTGTTCGCTCTTTAAAGTCCTGATCTTACAAGAATGAGTAAAAACTTTCAGATGTTACCAACGGTTTGGATATTTTTTGCCGTTGTCGTTTATGTCAATTTTAACATTTAGTGCTATGTTCGTTAAGTGAAACAGATCATAGGAAGCTCAAAAAGATCTTATTTGATCATCCTGTGCTAGTTCACTAATGTTTCTAATGCACTCTTCCATTTTTATGGATATTGGATGATTCTTGGACATTTGGGGCAATGATTACACTAGGATACAGGTTCTTTTCTTGAAAAAAGTCTCGGCCAAATAATTGGGATTAGTCGGCTACCTCTTATTTCCTTTGAGAACCAATCTTTCATTTGCCTCCTGCACTGAAAAGATTGGGCCTTGTCTCTAAGGTTTGCTTGAAAGTGACACAAAACAAAATCAGAAAAATTGAAGACCTAGTGTGACTTTTAACATAACTCTTTTGTTGAAAGGTTCCGTAGTATTGCTAAATCATACTTCAGAAGAGCAGATGGAGTGCTTTTGCTGTATGACGTTACCTGTGAGAAGAGTTTCCTTAATGTACGAGAATGGGTGGATATGATCGCGGTAAGAATATTTTCCCTGTAGAAAATGTGAAGAGCATTTACAGTTCGCTGTCCCTTAAATTTATGTTGTAGCCCACTTGTGTGCAGTGTATCTACTCAAGAGGGAGGAAAATTTAGAGAACAGAGGGCCCAATTCTGGGCTGAAATCCAGTGCTAAGAACAGTGTCCCCATTCCTCAATCTGAACAATTTTCATTCTTTCCACTCCTTGAGTCCATTGGTGCTTCTAGGCGCACACAGAGCCACATATGTTACTATTGGTTGCCATTTTGGTCCAGTTTTACACCATAGTGAACAGTTGCACATGGATTTTGATACAAGGGATCCACTTCTTTGTGGGTCCACTATTCTTCAGAACACTCCAACAACCCACTTCAACCACCTCTTTGGAGTTGAAAACTGGACCAAAATGGCAACCAGTTTGTCACTCCCTCCATGCCTGGAAACACCAGTGGACTCAAGGAGTAGCGAGGATAGAAATTGTCCTCACAACATGTATTTGCTCATACTAGTATAGATGAACATTACTCTGAGCTACCATAAGTTACAGGAAATGTATTTTACTAATTTGAGTAAACAGCTTTGCACTGTTCTGTTTTAACCAACGACAAATGCTGACTTTTGTGAATGACGGTCAAGCAAAATTCTGGTTTCAAATTGAATTTATTAAATTCCTTTTCAAGGATAACTGAACAACATGACCCAAGACCCATTCATACTACGCAATTATACCATCATTATTTCACTGTAACTTCCATGGTTACTATGTTACTATGGAGTCCTGGGATTGGCAGTTTAAGGGGAGGCACTTTATATTCATAGCCCAAGCACTCCAATGTCTTACCAAATTACAAACCCCAGGATTCTATAAGATTCAACCATGACAGTTGAAGTAGAATCAAAGCACTATAACTGTGTAATGTGAATGGGCCTCCAGTTTCAGTTTGTTTATATGTATCAATGTGACTTGTTAAATGTGACTGCAAAATATATTTGACTTCTTAATTTTGACATATGTGCGCATAGGCCCACTAAAACTTCTTGTTGTAGAAATTAGAATGTTCAGATTGCCATCACTCATCATAATATAGAAACTGTGTGATTATCAAATAAAATCAAACCAAACTCTTTCTGCTTGTTCCAGGATGCAACACATGAAAACATCCCAATCATGATGGTGGGAAATAAAGCTGATCTCCGCCAGGTAGTTTCTGAAAAAGGACACAAATGTGTCCCGATCAACTATGGAGAAAAATTGGCCATGGTAAGAATGAGAAATTTCAAAGATTTGTAATCCTCAGAGTGTTGGTCTGTAATTCCCAGCACTGTCATTAGCTACACTGGCTAGGTATTCTGCGAGTCATTCCACTTTTGGAGAGCCACATGGTTCCCACCTTTGGTGTAGATCATAAGCAGGTAGATTGGATGAATGTATTAGAATCGGGTAGGGCATGAGATGGATTCATAAATGACTATTGTAATTCACTCAAAATACTTTGAGTGACACTTAGTAGATACTTAGTTTGGCAATTCCATATCCAATATTTTATATAATTTTATGTATATTGAGCTATCAGAAAATAAAGGTGTCACTATCTCAGCCATCCATTTAGACAATTTTGTAGCCTTTCAGATTTCCAAATAAGGGATAGTCAACCTGTATACTGTTATGTTTTATGAATAATTGTAGTTCTGGTTATTCCCAATGGATATTCAGATGTTTCATGAATTTGTCTGAGTGAAATTATCCATGAATATATCTTTAAACCTCTTCCTCCCCTCCTAGACTTACAGTGCTTTATTCTGTGAAACCAGTGCTAAAGATGGTTCCAATATTGTGGAGGCAGTACTTCATCTGGCTCGGTATGTTCAAAGACATTAACTTTCTGAGTACCACTGACAAAGCGTTTTGGAAATAAAATCAAGTCTACTAAAATGGCATTAAAAACTGCATAGATATCATTTGAAAAAATACCCCAACACAATATTTCATTGTGATGTTTTTTTCCTCTCACCTTCACTAGTATTACCACCTTTGAGGGGTCCTGAGCACCACTGACTGTGCCCAGCACCTACCTTCAATTGGATCCCTTTCCACCTTCTATATGTTGACAAAAATGCTCAGTGAATGGCAGAAAGAAATTGCAGTGCATCGGGCACTACTCCTAAGCAGGCATGAGAAACAAGCTAGAATCTGTATCACACCATTTCCATAGCACATGCTGGCTTATAAGCAAGGCTACTACTTACATTCTGGGGAAGAGTAAGGTCATCAGTATCCTTTTCTGGAAGTCAGTTGTAACTTTAGCTTTTTAGCATTTTAGTGACACTTTTTGCTGAACAAAAGAGAGTGGTAATAACTCTCAAGCTAGGGGCTACCTGTACCCCACTCGGGACCTAGTAGGACCTCACCCCAGTTGTCCCAGTTTCTTTGACACAATCCCCTGTTCCTTCTAGGACAGTGGTTCTCAACTTGTGGGTCCCCAGATGTTTTGGCCTTCAACTCCTAGAATCCAAATAGCTGGCAAAATGGCTGGTATTTCTGGGAGTTGTAGGCCAAAACACCTTGGGAATCACAGGTTGAGAACCACTGGTCTGGGGATTAATGGGGGGCTGTTTAAACCTTGATGGGAAGATTTTCCAAATCAAAACTGACTTCTATTCATATTCTGCTTGGGAGAAAAGGCCTTCCATTCTAAAGTAGTCCGAAAGCCTTGCTAAAATTGCCCAAGCTGTCCTCTTAAGGCCTTCTTAGATCAGGGTTGGTGTATGTGGGGGCTTCTTCACCAATAATTTGGCAAATAAGGAGATGTATCTCTTCCAAGTTACGAGGAGTTGTGTGGGTAGTTTCCCACTCTTGAGTCCATTCCCTAATTAAATTTCATGTAGTTTGTTAGTCCAGTAACCTAATAGACACAATGATGTGGAAAGTTACTTTTTGGATTAAAACTAGACTTCATTCACTTATGCTGGCTGGGGGATTCTGGGAGGCTCAGTTCTTAAAAAAAGAGAGCTCTAAACTACATGAATTGTTTGTCCATATCTTGGAGCTTGAAATGAACATTATGTAAGCTCCAAAATTGATATCTAGGACAAGATTACGAGTAGCAATTTGTTGCTCCTGGTAGCACAACTGAGTTAAACCCTTGTGCCAGCAGGACTGCTGACCGAAAGGTTGGTGGTTTGAATCCGGGGAGTGGGTTGAGCCCCCATCTGTCTGCTCCAGCTTCTCATATGGGGACATGAGAGAAGCCTCCCACAGTATGGTATTTATGTTTTATCCAGGCGTCCCCTGGGCAACATCCTTGCAGACAACCAATTCTCTAACATCAGAAGTGACTTGCAGTTTCTCAAGTCGCTCCTGACACACACACACACACACAAACTATGTGGGGAAAAGACGAGATATAAGGAAGAAACAATCTAAAATGCATGGTCCCTGCACATGTTCTTTCAGATTAAAAAATGAAGGGGTTTTGCAACTGAACGTCTATCTTTTTCTGGCTTCAACTGAAGGGGAGGTATGGTCCTCTGTGGGTTAAAGGTTGGAAAATTTGCCCCTGGACTATAAATAATATGAGATTTACACAGAGAGTCTAAGGTTGGCACAATCTATGATAGTTTCCTTTTTTTGTAGTGGATGTTTGTGATCTACATTGTTCTTCCTAAAAACACTTGTTTAATCTTGACAAACTTCTGTTTTGCAGAGAAGTGCGAAAAAGAAGTGACAACAAAGAGGATGACAAGACAGTAACAAACCTTACAGGGACAACCCTAAAAAAGTCTATGTTCACCAAAAACTGTTGCAGTATATAAAAAACTAAGCCATTTTTGGTCTTAAAGGCATCTGGCTATTTTTTTTTAAATGAAGGATTTAGGCATAAGTTGCACAGGATGACTGGTGGAGCAGAAAATGGGGACCATTGCCCTACAGCCACCAAGTTCATCAAGGATGATCAGCAGCATCAGATGATGTGTTGAACAAAACCAAGCCAATGAGTGTGAGATGTTTGGGCTCAAAGCAGCAACAACCACATCTGTATTTCGGTTTTTGAATGGAAGCCCATCTATCATACCACTTGTGCCTTTTAAAGTCAACTGGCCTAGTAAGAACTTTACAAAGGCATACTTCCTACCAAGAAAATATGGTTGAGCTTTACACAGATTCTATGGGTCATTCTCTGACTTGTGTCATGAAAGACTTGTGCTTCTGGTCCTGTAATTTCATCACCAGTCTGAAATTCACAATCAGGCTTGCTTCAAAGGACTTTGGGAGTTCTGGACATTTCCATGTAATGCCTGCAGTAAGATTGGGAGAGGCATGATACCACTTGACATCAAGGGAACTGAACCAGGATTGAGAGGAAGATTTGATTGTGTCCAAAACTGAAAAAAAACCCTTTGGTTTCATCTGGAAACTTTGGAATTAATTAACAAGTCTACATTCACACCTCTGTGTGGAATCGTTAACTCCTTCTTATTGTATTGGAAAGGTTTTTGGGCTGTACTGCTCCAGACTACAGATAGACATTCCAGACTGATGGGAAATGCACTCCTGTTTGAAAAAAATGAGGATGTTTAGAAGAACGTTTTCTCAGATATTTTGTTACATAGATACAGAACACTATTAGTATTAGAAACCATATGGGCAGTGCAATCTGAAATGGTATAGCTCAGTGGTGGTTCCCGTGTTAATGCAATGATGACTCCAATCCAGGTTTTAATCCAGGCTTTAAAGGAGTTTTTCAAGATTTTAAATCTTTTTCCTAAATAGGTTCAGTGCCTTAGGGCTCATCTTCATGGATCAAATGAGATGGTGTGGGGACAAATGAACTCTTTGGTGTCCACAAGATGCATGGGGCCCGTACCTGCATGAAGTGGCCTTGTCCCACATTTTAAAAAGTGGGAGGATGTGCTAGAGCAATGGTTCTCAACATGTGGGTCCCCAGGTGTTTTGGCCTACAACTCCCAGCAATCCCAGCCAGTTGACCAGCTGTTAGGATTTCTGGGAGTTGAAGGCCAAAAACATCTGGGGACCCCAGGTTGAGAACCACTGTGCTAGAGCTTCTCCAAAGCTCCGGAGTTCACTTGCACTTTGTGGCAGTGTAAACAGTTTGGAGCTGGCCGGGGCTTCATATGGCCATCCTGTTTCCTGCTGGCTTGGGCAGTGTTGGACAAGAGATTGCTCTTACCATTTCTCTCATGTCCTTAACTTAGCAGCAACTACCAGGTGTGATGCTGCTGGTGGATGTTGCTCATTACATCTGCTGATGTTGGCCGGAGCACTGTAGCAATCTAAGAAGATGCCTCATCTTCTATCTGGAGCTTTGGTTTAGGCATCGCTGGGCTATGTGGACTCCAGCCATTCACCAGGCCAGCTTGATGGTACACAGTGCAGACTCCTGTGGTGCTGATTCGGGCTACCCAACTCTGGAACAGCTCCAAGGGATGTGGCCCATGTATATGGGCCTTTAGACAGCTCCTTCAAATGTAGTCAAATCATGGATTGGATTCACCACTCCATAAATATGGGAGCTATCACCACTAGTGGTATAGCTGAGATGAAGGCTTGTCTTTTAAATTAGAACTTAAAACGGCCACGTGCCACTTCCTGGAAGACCCACTACTTCCTTCCCGCCACTCAGGGCCAAAGGGAGAAAGAAAAAAAAACCTATTTTAGACTGTAGCTTCATAAAACAGGTTTCTGAGTGGTCTTGTCTCAGAATTCTTTCTGTCACTTTGAAAACTCAAACCTTTCCTTTAGTCTGAGTTGTAAATATGAGTCCTCATTCTTTCGAAGTCACAAACGAATCTGTTTAAAATTCCCTTTGGAGTATGATTGTGTTGTGCATACTTTTACTTTATTGAGTGGAAAATTTCATTATTCCAACAGAATTATCTTCATCATGAAAAGGAAAAGTCCAGTTATTAGGTTCCTAGGAAGTTGAGCATGACTCGTAGATGCGTTGGCCAGAGAAAAAAATTGGACTCTTTCACATGTTTTAAATGTTTTATTGCAGTTCTAGATTTATATTATTTTCTTTTGATTAATTTATAAAGACTAGTCTATTTTTATAGATGTAAATTTTTTTATTTTGCTTTTCTGTGCTCAGCTTTAGCAGTGTTTTAAAATTGGGGCTGAGAGGCCCTTTCTTTGAAACATTGGTTTGTTGTTCATAACTGTAGCTGATAGACTAGGAGATAAGTCCATATTTGCCGGTTTCAAAGAGGACTCTTTTATTGTAGGACTGTAAAGACTCCAAAGATAAACACATGAAATGTTCAATGACTCAAATGACATGAAAAAAAATTGTTTGGTTGGATCCTCTTGGGTATTTTAAAAAATGGGCTGAGAGGTCTATACTCTCTATACTCTTGGATATTTTAAAAAATGGGCTGAGAGGTCTATACTCCCACTACTAAATCTGTGCTGTCCACACATACTGCATGATTATTGTAGAACATAATATATTATTTGATAAGCAGCATAACCCTAAAGTACATATGAGTTTGGGATGATGATTTAATATTATCTGTGCTTTAATGTTACCTGAGTCAACCATGTCTTTCTTTCTGGATGGTTGGATATGCCTGAATTTGGAACCCTGGTTAGTTTAAATTATAATTAGCCAATATGCCAGAACCATCAGCTACCATTTCATTTTGAGTTTCTTAAACTAACAAAATTATAAAGCAACCAGAATTCTTTTGGATTCATGTACAACAAAGAAAGCTCATTATTTTTAAAGTTGACGATTAGCATTTCTGCACAGGAATAGAGAGGGGGAAATGTACAGACTCAAAGTTGAAGCATATAATGCTAAACTTTAATGTTTTGTCTAAAAAAGCCTGTATTGTGGGAATATGCAATTGGGGATTCTCAAATTACATTGGAGAGCTTAACAGTGGAGATTTTTTCAAGGCGTTAGTGAGAAAGGATGCAAGTTGGTATGAACTGAAATCATTCAGATACAAATACGACTTTCTGCATGAACTGTCACAAGTGATTTTTAGATTGTTCTCTTAAAAATATATACATGCATCCATGAATAACCATTCAGATATGTAGGTTACAGCTGCCAGTTTCATTGTTTTGTTATTTTTTGTGAGCTTATAAAAACAAATCTTTATTGTCTTTTATATGTAAACAAGAAAGTTATTAAAAGTATGAGAATTTTTAGAATAAACAATATTGGCCCAGGACAAGAATATGAACAATAACTTTTGGGAGAAGAAATACGGGAAAGAAATGAGAGAAAAAATAGAAATAAATGGAGCTTAAATCAACATATTCTCTTAACATCCTGAGTTCATTTTGAAAAGGTTGTTGCCTTAAAAAAAACACCTTAGGATTTTATCACCAAAGGGAGTACCTTTTTGATTGGGATATATCAGGCATCCTCGACATGTGGCTCTCCAGCTGTTTGGGCCTCCAACCCCCAGAAGTCCTAGCCAGCTTGTTCGATGGTCAGAAATTCTGGGAGTTGGAGGCCCAAACAGCCAGTTGGAGGATGCCTGTGATACTTAGGCAGGGCTTACAAAAGTCCCTTTATTGAACTACAGGTTCTTGACTCCTGTAGGCAGCCTGGCAGGTATGTTGAGAGATACTGGGAGCAGTAGCCTCAAAATGCATTATTTCCCAAATTTGTGTATGCATCTAGGTCTTGGTATAGGATATTTAATTGCTTAGAAACTGCATTGTAGCAGAGCTCATGTAAATCTGGAATTCTTGTGTTTTAAATAGGTTCATTGTAAAAAAAAAAAAACCACCACACCAACATATAGGAAAATGGCAGCAGAGATGTACTAGCCCACCAATAATGTCCCGTTTAAATCAGCATAATTGCACTTTTGATCACTTTAGATTCTTTTGAAGTCACTAGCCATTCTTTGAGGACATGAGACCTTCTAGGAATATATGGAGCTTCCCAACCATCAAGAACTCCCTGTCCTTAATTTTTGGAATTAGAATTGCATGCGTGTTCTGAGGTCTAGTGACATCTACATACACACTCATGTTAGTAGGCTTATCCATTTCCAGAAATTCCTGGAATCCATAGGGATATGGCATATGTGTTTAATCCCAAATGTATTTATGCCAGCATGTGTGATCAATGGCTTTCAGTCAGATTTATGAAAATAATTCCCAGCAGGTTTCTAGAGTGCGTAATTTGTAGATCTAGCTGCAAAAGTAGTATTTCTTATTTATTGACTTTCCATGTTGCCTTATACATATATATTTATTATAAAAGGGAAAATCTTTGTATATAGTTGTTTCTGGTGAATCCTGTACATAAGATTTATTTTTATGCATTACGCAGTAGCGAGTACTGTTGTTTCTTCTTTACTGCCTTGACTTGTTTTAAAGCTTGCCATATATCATGTTTTTAAGGCAGTGGTTCTTGCAGTTAGTCCTCTGAAAAGTTAGATCTACCAAGTGCTTTTGTTATTTAACAGATGCAGAGAGATTGTGTGCCAAAATGTGTGATGCTAAAATGTCTTAGAATAAAAATGATATATAACACATGAATGAATGCTATATTTATTGAAAACACACATTTTCAAGGTTCTTTGTTGATATGACTTTCTTGTGTAGGCTAACTTCTCTGGTGTAGTGGAACCAGGGCTCAAAGGGATGGAGCTCTGGGACTTTTTGATTTCTAGGGATGATATCTACTGCCACCTTTTCAGGCTCCCCTGTTGTCTTTGGACATGGCTGCCACCCTCACAGGAACTGAAAGAAAGAGATATTTTTCTAAGAAAATACTGCTATCAGCTTCCTCTGCTGTAGTGTGATATAGGGTGGGTAACTTGGTCTTGAATATAAAAAAACCATTTTTACAGAAGACCTATTCTGATTTGTTGACATGAGTCAACTGATTGTTGATGTGCATGGATTTTTAGATTCTCTGGGGGCATGATGCTTATGCTGACATTTATTTATATCCCACCTTTTTTTCCTAGTTCAGGACTCAAGGCAGCTTGCAAAAAGTTTGAGATAAAAATTCACAACATGTAACAACAACAACGACAACAACAACAAACAACAACAACTTTATTCTTATATCCTACTGCCATCTCCCCGAAGGGATTCAGGGAGACTTACATATGGGACAAAATGTCCACAAGACATTAAAAAAATCCATAAAACAAAACACATTAAAATAGCATCATAAAATACAACAATCCAGATAAAACACATTAAAAATAACAGAATAAAACAAATTCCATTGGAGCTCCATCAGATCAAGTTCAACAAAAACAATAATTAAGATTTCTAAAATGGGGAATACCAAACTATAAAAGGGCTGGGTAGGGGATAGTGCAAATTGCATAACAGGGCTGGGGAGGTGGATGAAGTTGAAAACAGAGTACTATCAGGTGACCTAGAGACTGGACATATATAATTAGAAACTAATCATTCTCAAATGCTTGCTGGAACATCCATGTTTTCAAATCCCTACAGAAGGAAGACAGAGTGGGAGCTTGCCTAATCTCCCTGGGGAGGATGTTCCAAAGTCAAGGGCCACCACCGAGAAGGCCCTCTCCCTCGTCTCCACCAGCCATGCTTGTGATGGTGGTGGAAGCGAGATGAGAGCCTCCCTGGCAGATCTTAGAGCCCACATCAATTCATAGGGAAGATGCAATCATGAAGATAGGTGGAGACCAAACTGTTTAGGGTTTGTAGGTTATAACCTGCACCTTGAATTGAGACCGGAAACCTATCGGCTGCCAGTGGAGGTGCTTTAATAGGGGCATCATAATTAAATAAATAATACAACCTGTAATGATGTCTGCATTTCCAAATTTAACAATGTACCATTGAAAGCACAATCCCATGCATGTCTATTAAGAATGAAGTTCTATACGAATAAATCCAATCAGACCCAATTAAAGGAGAACTTAACTTAAATCACAGTTGACATACCAAGTTCCATGGATTCAGTGAACCTGCTCTAAACCACAAAATTCAGTGGGATTCTTTCTAGATTAAATGAGATAAGACTAAAGATGGGCTCCTAAACACACCATGGAATACAGAACATGTGGCATACGCATAAATAAGACTGTTGTGTGCTCAATACATACACTGTATGCAATTATATGTGGTTGCAACACATCACCTTTTTATAGTTTTTTGTGACCTCTTCAGGAAATAATAATGTCCAATTTAATTTTTATCTTGCTCTTTCTGGTCCCATTTTATATTGCTTTCTGGGGCTGTTATTGGGCAGCAATCTTCTAGAGAAAATCTTCATTTATTTATTATTTTATTTATTTAGAACTTTTATATATCGGTCTTCTCACCTCTAACGAGGTACTCAGGCCGGTTTACAACAAGGGAATTCATACACAATAGTTTAAAAACATCACATCAATAATACACTAATATAAACACATTAAAGTCCTATCATATAATTATATAATGCCAAGTCGTCAGCATAAAAATCACTATTCATCCCCATCCATCCGCGTGGTCAAAAGTCATCGCCTCACTCATCAAATGCCAGATTCCAAAGCCAGGTTTTCACCAACTTTCTAAAGGTCAGGAGGGAAGGCGCAGTTCTAATCTCCAGTGGGAGGGAGTTCCAGAGCCGAATGATGATTTCAAGGAAATAATTGACATAATTTAACATGCCCCTTATTGACAGTAAATCCCTCCAAAGTCTAGTGCTTTGGGGTTAAATAAAACTGCTTTTGGAAAGGTTCTCCTAGTGTTTTTGAGCAGCTGAATGCTGAGTCTAAGATTGCTTTCTGAAACATCTAGATGCCCTCCTTCCAAGCATCTGCTACATTCGGGCTGCCATTTTGAATCAATCTCTTTTCTACAAAAGGGCAAGTAGATGAAGGAAGAAACATCTGCAATTGTATAATCTGTCTTTTGTGTTCTGACAGTGATGAAATCCATCTCAAATTAAAATATGAATCCTCTGACACAGAAGGGACCTCAGCTGTGACACACAGAATGGTTAATTTTTAAAAATCTGTCTTGTCGATGTTCTGGATTGTTTGAACAGCATTTTCCCCCTTCCCCTTGAACAACTGTGCTTTTTACAGAGGAACATGAATAATTTGAAGAGCGAAGTGCTTTGATGGGCATGAAATCTGTGCTCCTTAAAAGGGGAACACGGATCATTTGATTTATGCGCACAGTAAAAGAAAAGGTTTTCTTCGTGTTGTTTAAAAAAGAAAACCAGACTTGCATTTGCAGTGTTCGCAGAAGCACATTTACAAGTAATGGACTTCTGGGGTGGACAGTTCCTTGTTCAGCTTGTCAAAATTGGCACTCCCACAGAGCAGGATGTCAAATTGAGTTTGAGAGAGAGTTCAGTATGGAGTGTGACAATTGCAGTGTACAGAACAAAGTAAGTGATTTTTGTTTGCAGGCAGTGTGTGCATTTTCCAAAATAACTCATGGAACAATGTTCAGTTAAAAGAGACTTGGGCAAGTTATTTCTTTTAGATTTCTTTTGTATGAGTTGAAGTGAGGAAGGCAGGGGTTACTTATGTTAAATTATGTTGCACCCTGCCTTGAGCCTTGAGGAAAGATGGGTAAGAAATAATTTACTGTTGTTGTTGTTAATGATTGGTGTCCACCCAGACCTGTTCTTAACCTGATGACCTGCAGTGTTAAACTACAAATCCCATCAGTCAGAGCTGGGAGGGTTTACAGCTGTGATCCCCATCCTTCAGCCTTCTAGATGTTTTGAACAATGGCCACCATGCCTAGCCATCATAACCACATAACTAAAGATGAGGGGGCCTTGAAGTCTGACACACCTGGTAGGGAGTTGGCAGAAGGGCTTCCCTGGCTTGACATGTATCCTAAATGGTTAGGGTCTTTGGGGAGTTGGAATCTGACACAGCTTGAGAGCACCTGGTTGTGGAAGAGCTGTCCCGAAGTTCCACAGAAGGCAATGGGACTTTGCTGCCCATAGACACAAGTGCATGTCTCTAGTGATTCTGAAGGGGACTTGCTCTTTAGTGTATGCTCCCAAGTTTATGTATGTGATACATAGATATGTTCCTTCAAATTCGCACACATGAACCCATTTCTGAACATTGAAATACCTCTTGTTCAGGAGAAGAGAAAGGAGGAGGTGGGCCCATCTTCCCAATGAAGCTTTATATCTGGCTTTGGAGGATGTTGGCACTGCAAGTGGGGAGCATGCTGGGGATGGAACAAAAAGACCTGAAATGGATACTCTGAAGGATTCTTCTCTTTTGGATCGAGGCTGACACATTACCTTTTATTAGCTGTTAAAGATTTCTAATGCAGCTTTCAGGACACAAAAGCTCCACATTCCTAATCATTCTCAAATAATTCCTAATCATATTCAAAACCACCATTCTTCAATTATCCCTTTGTGCAAATTAAGGAGTGAGATTGCAACAAATAAAACCAGATTGAAATAATAACAAAGGCTTTAAAGTGTGATTTTTAAAAAGTAATGGTTATAGAGACACAGAAGCATTGGAGTCGAATACAGAGAAAGTTCTATACTTCTGACATTCTATAAGTGGGTCAGAAGAAAAGGTCAGCAATGTTAACCTTAAAGCATAGATAGGCAAGGAATTCTTCAGGCAGTCAGGTAACAATGCATTTTCAGGCTTCAAGAGTTAAAACTGGGGATTGGAAAAAATGAAATGTCCTCTTCAGATTTGGTGCCATTTACAGAGGTGGCTTCAAGGTGTTGAATCTATTGTGGGAAAGCAAGGTCAACTCTGGTTAATACTTGGAGGGGGGTACGGCCAATAAATACCAGATGTTATAGGCTATATTTCAGAGGAAGGAACTGGCCAAACCACCTCTGAGTACTCCTATGGAATTCATGGGCTTGCCAATAATAGACATCCAACTTGAAGGCACACACACACACACAAAACAAGTTGTGGCATACTTTTGGTCTTTGTGAACACATGTGTGCATGGGGAGAGCTAGTTTCCCGCTTTATGAAGTTTCTGTCCATTCCTAGAGGAATTAACAAGCTACAGATAAACAATGAGGCCTAGCACTGGAATAACCTTAAGGGAAACTTGCTTCTGTCACAATAAAGGCATACTTCCGCAGTGTTCTATAATATCCTAAAATAAAGCATTAACTTTTTAAAGTGCTGTAGCAGATGTTTCAAGCTTCATGCAACCCCAAACCTGCAGCTAATTCCCTCTTTTCCTCATTTAGTTTCTTGCATCTTTTATTGCCAGGGAAAGTAGAATCTGTTCCTGCTTACTAAAGGGTTACACTTTAAAAAAAACCCACAACAACTCCACAACATATTTGAATGTGTGTGTTCTATCTATCTATCATCTATCTATCTATCTATCTATCTATCTATCTATCTATCTATCTATCTATCGTTATAGATGCAGATGTGTGTGTGTGTGTGTGTGTGTATAAGTGTATGTGAATATATGGAGTGCCCCAAAAATGTGCACATACAAACATAAGAAATATTAGTCTATAGTCATAACTATTTATACAACAGCAAAATTGATATGAGAGCTGTCCTTGAATGTTGGATTCAGTGT